GACTGAACTGGAGAGCGAAGTGAGACAGAAGTAGGACGACAGGATGCTTCAGTCAGGGCGCCAGGTTTCCACCTCTGTTCAAAGATGTACTCGTAACCAGTTACACAACTTTCCAGAGTCAATTTATGTTTGTATTTGTGCTAACATTAATGCTGTGTTATTTCATTTCAGCACTGCTAATACACTGTGGCTGTATCAGAGGAAACAAGCTTTTAATTTGAAGTGGACAGCGGCCCATTGTAATGACTTTACACCAAAACACGGAGCCACCACAACACAAGGCCGCTCTTCAACAAAGAGTACATGTGGAACATATTACTAAACAATTAGAGGGAAAGTCATGATTTCCAGAGAGCAGCCCAAACCTCCAACTCACCAAATGTCTGCATCTCCCACAGCACGATGCCAAACGCCCACACGTCCCCCTTGTAGCTGTAGTAGTTGTTCTTGAAGTACTCTGGGGGGTACCAGCGCAGGGGTACACGTTGCTGCACAATTTACACATGATGGAAAAAGTGATTTCACCAAAACTTAAAGGTGATATTTTCAAACTATGTGAAACTGTGTCAGAGGGACAATTTTAGACATCAGGAAATGCACGACTCCATTACTGCTGGTCTTTTTCTGCACCACAGTTTCCTGTTGAAAAGGATGTTGCTAAATCTCCCGCACACGTGCAGTAACACAGAAGCAAAGTCTGGTTCAAACTGGGCTCAAAAAGAGTTCACTACATCTGTAGCTCAACCAGTAACAAAGGTCATCATATCACACAACGTGAGATGCAGTTACACTTTTTGTTTTTGTAATATCCAGGTTACATTTGAAAGTGTTGACCTGAAGCACTTTCAGTCAGGACCACTTTAGCTAACGACAGATCGCCTTTTACATCATTTCGATTTGCTGGTGTGGCTCATCTCTGGGACATCCCCGCTCTTCCGTGTGCATACATCGAAAGCTGGAGGTGGGGAGAGGAACAGCAGCAACAAAGCAAGGCATCAGCAACTACAGACATTGATTAAGTCGGAAATGACATAAAAGGAGAAACAATGGCGGAGGAGGGGGGTGCGAAGCGGCCTAAAGACGTGCAGTAACTGTGGACGGCTCCAATAGCTTTTACAAAGGCACGACTGGCTGTAACTCAGGATGTGGAGCAGGTCATCTGCTAAACAGCAAATATCCTCAGGCAACATCGGACTCTCTGATTCTCTCCTGAGTACAGATGTGAGCACGTGTTAGACAGAAAGCACTTCTGCAGAACCTCAAACATGCATTGATGTCACAGTGAAACTACAGCGCGGGAGCAAAGCTGGAAACGTTTGGGTCACTTTGGATTCTCACTGGAAATGAAAGACGAATGGAGGACGTGATCATCCACAAATAAGATCAATGAATTTGAAAATGTGCTGCGAAGCTGTTCAGCAGCACGAGGACTGTGACAAAAGGATGCTGCACATAGAAATAAAGAAATAATCGATTTAAGGAAATGCTTGTGTGTGCTGCAATCTTACACGTGGGTTTCTCCAGCGACTGCTGCGACGGCTCGCCATTCGCGTCAAGTCTCGGGCGAGACCAAATTCGGCCACTTTCACCTCCCAGGGAAACTTGTTGACCATGACGTTCCTCAGAGCCAAGTCACAGTGAATAATCTGCACAGAGAACCAACAACATTAATGCAAACACAATGATAAAGTGTGTTCAAACTGTCAACAACAACAGTCACACTGGGACAAAGTGGGACCAGTATATTTCCTGTCAGTCTGCTGTGCTGTTACCATCTTGGAGCGCAGGTGCTGCATGGCTAGAGCAACGTGGTACGAGGCAATGGTGAGGAGGCTCTGCAGCTCAGGGTCAGTACTCAGGTGGGCTCTGTTGGTCTGCAGGAAGGTCCTCAGAGTGCCGTAGCTCACATACTCCATGATCAGGATGTAGGGCTCTGCACAGAGAACATCCCAGTCAGAGACGCAGGGCCTTACAGAGGGACACGCCTCCAAGAAGAACGCAACAGACTTACAGGTTAGTTCATAGTAACAGGTTAGCTCATAGTTGCAGGTTAGTTCATAGT